AGAAATTATCAACAAAAATAGATTTACAGACGTCAACAAAGCCTAAATGGTAAGTCCACTTCTATAAAAGTTATTGCCCTTGAATAATGATTATTATGAAAATAAGATGTGGTATGATAAATAAGAAAACTATCCACCAGAGTTCAATTAAGTGGATGTATTAAAGCAATGCAATTAGTTATTAGAGGCCAATGATGACCTGTAAATAATGAAAAAACCCATACCCTATACATGATATAGTCATCTATAAAAGACACCACAAACAAAATTTGGAACAAAACATCAATTCAAACTTCAAATATACCAGACTAATTTATAAAAAAAAACAAGTTATGAAAAAACAAATATGACGGACTTGAACCAACATCAACCAATGAACTATGAACAGGCTCCTGATTTTGGACAGGCAAAATATGGCAGGGTTGATATAAAGATAAGAAGCGGTATGATTGCCAATGAGACTTTTCTCCAATAGAGATCAAATGACATTAAATTTAACAAAATTTGTTCACTGTACAATGAGCAAACCCTATACTGCATAGTAATCTATAAAAGGCCATGAAATAACAAATGTAAAACAATTTAAAAAGGGCATGGTGTCTATCCATGCTAAACATGCTTGGGGGAAACACCACAAAGGCGAAAGCTAAGTGCCTGATTTTTGCACAAAACAAAAAATAAAAAACAAATATGATATATAGCAACAATTGACAACCACTGAATAACAGGCCCCTGACTTGGGACAGCCACTTACAAAATGTGGCATGGTTTAACATGTTTGCTGGCGCCAAATCCTCCTCTAATTAAGGACAGTGGTGTAAGTGTCAGTTCATTTAAATATAAAAACTATAAAATCAGTTGAAAAGGGCTATTTTCTGCTCTTTGGTCAGGTTATTTTGATACATTCCCGTTTTCATTTTCAATTTTATTAACTCATTAGAATGCAACAAAGCAGAAAAACAGCTACCAAAAACACAGACCGGATGTGGCTGGAAATTTATTCTTTCCCTTTAACAAAAAAGACTCAACATACAGATCCATTAGTACTGACAGTTACTGACAGCTAATTCAAAGCAAATATCAACTAATAAAATAAACATTTTGTGAGCACCCAACCCACCCCTAACCTGGGACAGTGGTTTTAATAACAGCAAAACATTTGAACAAACTGTAAACATTTGTTGCAATTGGCTTAACTCAAAAGACTGCAACAAGGCACAAAAAACAACTAATATGAAAACCATAGACACAAAGCACTGAAATAAGAGTTCTTACAATTTTAAATATTCAAATGAAAGTTTTATCAAAATGTACATAAACATGATAAAATAGCCATTTTATTGCTGTATTTCTCTTCATTTATAATTTTTGAGTTTTGTGTATTTGTAGGTCAGACATCTTGGTTTTCATGATCATCATTCAACAAGTCAATACTGAACAGAAAACTTAAAGTTGATATTTTTCTACATAGTGTGACTTTTTTTATTAATTTGAAATGGAATGTGTTTTTTCCTACATAAGAAAGAGGAAATTTCATCATAATGACAATAAACAAAAAGGCGTCATATCATCATGATCATAGATGCACAAGAACTTAATCATGTAAATGCAACAACGTAATTATCAATTGAAAGAAGGGAGGAATGAAAAAATATATTAGTATTTTGTTGTCCAATTGAACTTGCTTTGTCCACTCATTTAAATCGCTCCATCCAATAAAGATGTACGGTGGAAGATTTTTGAAGAACAGATTGCAAAAGAGGTTTTGTCTTAGAATTGTAGGAATATTCTAGTGGATGAAATAATTTATTTACTTGACTCTTATATAGTGGACTGAATAATTGTACATAGCAAGCTGAAACAAGAAAAACTAAAACTTAACAGGAAAAGTGTTTATTTTATAAATTTGCAAATATAAACGTAATATTATGAACACCACAAAGGTATAAGATTCAAATCGTTTGCATATTCATGTATTGCAATGGAACTATAACAAAGAAAACTTTTAACTCATGAAAAGAGTAAACTATTAACTGTGCTTTGTCAATTTATTCAGTCAGAATATGAAATATTTTTTTCAGTTCTATTTTTCATAATAAAACAAACAAGACAAAGATTTCAAATCAATATTTTTTTCTTTTATTAAGACATGTCATCATTTTATTTCAGTTAAAGGATTTTATTTTTTGACTTTAAATAGTATTATACTTTCCAAAATAATAATAATCTTTATTGTCATATAAACAAATTAAAAACATGTTTGTGACAAAATGAAAAAAACCAAAATACACTCATACATGTCATATATATATTATAAACTTTTTACTACCAAACAGAATTCATTGTAACATACACATTACTGTATATTTATAATTTGAATTCCATAGGATTTCATTTTGTCCCATGGGATATTAAAAATCCCATGGGATAATTATAGTCCCATGGGACAAACAAAATCCCATGGGACTATAATTATCCCATGGGACTACAATTATCCCATGGGACCCAAAAAAATCCTATGGGATTTAACCAAAATCCCATGGGATAATGGTCAATCCCATGGGATTTGCCTTATCCCATGGGATATTGAAAATCCCATGTTTTTCTAAATCAAATTACAGATTATATATAATAATAACAGTAGAAAAGCAATGAAATTATTGAATCCCATGTAATTCCGCACATTTTGCTTATATATACGACATTGTAGGTCTAAGGAGAGGCGGCGGCGGATTTGCAAATGAGTGTTTTGCAAATTAAAAGTGTCCAGTGTTATTATATTAATATTTGTACAACAGTTATATATATAGCATATCATCTTAATAACTCTACCGGCAAATTTTCATCCATTTATACCATCATTGTATATTATAATGATAGTGCAGTGCAGGTGCATGGTGGACACTCTTCTGTAATAATTCGTTTTTCTAAAAGGTTTGATTTGATTAGGCATTCATATTTCTCCCGCTAATGAATATGTATTGATGAAATTGATATATAACAAGCGATAAGAGATATTCATCCGCAAACACAATTTTTCGGTTCGTGTGCATAGATATTAATGATTTTTTACTTATATCTGGGACTATTATACTAACAGTATAATAGTCCCAGCTTATATATAACAAAACATTTTCATGTTATTTCTTTATGTTCTTAAAAAATATTTTCATGAGTATTCATTGAAGAAATGAATTTATAACAAGCGATAAGGAATGTTATTTTCACTCGATAATATCCGCGTATTTATACGAAATACGTTCGGTTATCAGTCAAAAACGCAAGTCACGTGGGTAGAAATGTCTTCCGCAACATAACACCGGAATGCCCTCAAGGTCATCCGCTGTAAAAATAGTAATAGGTAAGAATATAGAGCACGCAAATGATTTTTTTGAAATAAAAAATCCCAAAAGAACTTATAACTCCTGGCTTTGAGCAGAGACAATTAAACGCAACGGGTTTACAATCTCTACTCTCTTGAATACAAAGAGCAGAGAACTACACAAGTTCTAAAGTATGAAGGTAATACACTGATCTAATCTTAGTCAAGAAAGTTGTTTGAATGACTGGACTTTTACAAATGAAATCGATCGTGAGTTGATAGGTAATAACGATTTTAGGAGCAGAGAGTTGTAAAATATGGGAATGATTCTAAAGGGCGACTTTTGATTACTTAGTTGGCGAGCTGCAAGAGTAATGCCATTTTTTTTTTGTCAATTTGAGTTGATAGGGCAATGTTGATTTTAGGGGATTAGGTATAAGGCATCATTGTTATTATTAGAGAACATTTTGAAATAGAGTAGTGGTTTTTAGGGATGAAGAGTTGCAGCAATTGCTGTTTTTTGAGTAGCTTGTTGTTGTCTAGGTTTATAATTTTGTTTTTATAAGTGGCGAACGTCAGAGTTCGATAGGTTAAGCAAGGTTGTTAATAGATAGTGTTATGGTTTTTGTTTTAATAATTTGTTAGTGATCAGATGGGTGGATGATGGTTCATTATATGTGTTTAGTTTTATTTGGTACTGCTTTTTTTACCACTTGTATAAATAGTTATATGCTTTGAGAAAGCTTGCTTTATATTATTTTACTACAGAAAGATAATGTTCTTGCCAAATAATAAGATAATGACATTACATGTATATATATAATGCATGTTTTGTTTGTTATCATTATTACTCACTATCGTAGATATGATTTATTTTTAACCACAAGAACATCAAGGTTAGCTAAGTTATAACAAAGAAAAAATGTTCCACGTGCGCATATGCTAAGGCTACATATTATTCATGACAGAAACAGCGGGTTTTGCTTTTCATATATTATCGCTTTAGACCCATCCTACATGTATTATTGTCTAATTTAGCGTACATGACAAGCAATTGTCTCATTTTAAACTGAAAATGTCAAGGCAGTACATAGGAGTGTATATTCATGAACAAATACATACATAATCGATTGTTTGAAAATCTATTTAAGTCAGTTAATATTAAATGTCAAAATTGAGAACAGTGCATATATGTTAAAAGGGGAGGCGGGAAGTATAAAAATTGAAACGGGGGTATCGAAGCGAAAGTGTAAAGTCAATCAAAACATTGAAACACTTCGTTCAATACTGAGAAGACAATTAACACGGAACTTAAACAAAGAATTTATATCTATATATCTATCTATATACAAATGAAGTTAAACGACAAAACACTTACAACTGATCATATCTAATTATAACTTTATGTAACAAGAGTAGCATATATTACTGTTGTTGCTCCATTTGAAATAATTCCAAGTATTCAAACACACAAAGAAAGAAATATCGTCACTAGAGAGATACAAGATATCATAAGGATACCTTACAACAAATACTATGTTACTTAGCAAAACACAGTGCAATACTCTATCAATAATAAAAGAATACATTCGGTAAATCGAATATATTGGCTAAACCTGAATGTATGCACCTACTATTATCATCAATAAATTCAATAATATACTAATCAAACACATACAAATACCTTATAATGTCGTTGACCTGTGACACCGGAAGAACACTTTCTACATTCTAATATGTCATATTTCTATTCTTAATTAAAATTGTTTTCATTAGGTACCGTAGCTGTGATTTTTTTTCTAGGTTGTAAATATTTCGTTAAGATAAACTGTTTATATTATGAAATGATTTCAGATACATCTTTACATAATCGATCGATGGAGAATGTTGATAATCAAAATCAATAGTATACCGAAGACATATATAATACCATTGGTCTCCGATGATATGCTTTTTTGAAATATGGCGTGAATGTGTGAATGAATTTTCGCTTTTACATTGTTTTGTTATTTTTCATACAATATTAAGGATATTTGGTATGGTATCGAATGAGATATCTACCAAAAAGAGACTAAAAGGACGAGGATGATCGAAACAATTATATATGGAATTACTGTACAAACTTCAACAATGAGCAAAACCCATACCTTATACCAAGCTATAAAAGATCCCGTCATGATAAAATATAAACAATTCAAAAGAGAAAACCTATGGCCTGATTTATGCTAAAATAGCAAACGATAGACAAATAAGACAGATAGCTGCAAACGACAATTACTGCATTACAGTCTCCTGACTTTGAGATATAAAAAATGTTGCGGGGTTATAAACATGTTCGTGAGCGATCAACCCAACCTAACATGGGACAGCATATCCATTAGTTTGCTAATTAGATAAATTATGTGTCACAAATTCCTTGTGAACTCATCTGACTTTCTTCAAGGAACAAAAACTGTGGATCTCAAGACTTAAAAATTTTATTTTAACCTTTGTTAACATTTAAATATATTCTTACCTTAAACGAAGACAGTTCTCTAAAACGTCATTCTTTAATACCTTCGTAGCCAAGATTTAAATCATTTAATCTATAAAACGACTTCAAAACATAAAGGTTGATCAACTTTAAGTTAACAGAACAAAGATCACCGGTTAAAGGTTACATACAATATCATTAAAAAGAGGTAAGGACTAGTTCCTAGGCATCAGCATCACTCACATTGTCGAAATTTAAAGTTTCCAAACCCAACTGGAATATGAATATGAAAGAGTTTATACAATATACTTAGAATGTTTTTTCAACAATTAAGCATGGTTGTCATGAAATAAAAAAATATATTGAACGCTTCATGTTGCTGTTGAAGGCATTGTGATAAAATTTTTTACATGTTTTTGTAATATTTTGAATTGACGGACGTCAATAAACAAAATGAATTGATTTGAATCCGAAAAACTATATAACGCTTTACTACCAACAGAATTATGGTTTTGGTAAAGAATGTCCTTCTTGTACATTTTATTCATAAATACTAGTACGCACAATTCGGCAATATCTGACAATATTGCTTTCTTCAGGCGGTTTTAATTTTGTTATCCGTGAAGAAATACGCCAAAAAACAATTGTAAGAATCTCAAAGAACACACTTGGATAATTTAAGTAAAAAATGAATTTCTTTTGATAAGGGTGGTGTGAAATAAATTAAAGAAAATTGGACCTACCTCTTTGATTCAAGCATAAATTGATAAAACAAAGTTGACCTTTGGAATGACATATGGCCTTTTTTTTCTCGAACACTCATGAAATGTATGGAAATTATTGTCTGTACATAATAGTTGTCTAATTTCGCTTGAACTTTAAAATGGAGGATCTGTTTTGCTGATGTTGATAACCTTAACAGAATAGGTCATTTTCCTTTGCACATGACATTGAAGGAAAAAAATAATACATCCCCACCCCTTGTCATGATTACCAACTTCCTGTCAATAAATGCGATACACACTTCAATCATAAGTAGGTTTTATTACATCAACACATCATAAGAAATAAACATACATCATTGTAGACGTTCTACATCTTTACATATGCAACCAAAGATATATAGATCCTCAATGTTTGAATGAACACGTTAAATCCGATGCCTCGTTTAGTGTGAATGTAAAACACTCTCTGATCCTACAGCTCTTTAAGAGGCCCGTAGCAGTTGCATGAAAAATAGCTGCTCCAATCAAACAAGCCAGATGGTTGTTATATAAAGTCTACTTTCATTTATCTCGATCGACCTACTTTTCACAGTCTACCTAGCATTGTTTAAATTGTTATTTGTTATCGTCTTGGATATCCTTTAAAAATTTGCAACTGGACGCTAAGAAAGCAATAATCAGCACATGTACATCATAGTTTCTTTTAACACCAAGGATCTTATTTTTAAAGCTTCCGTTAACTCACGGACCCTTTTACTTGATTGATTGATTAATTGGTGTTTAAGGTCACTTTCAGCACTAATTAGATTTAGCTATTTCATGGCGGTTAGTTTTATTTGTGAAGAAAGCCAGAGTGCCCGGAGAGAACCACCGACCTTCGGAAAGTAAGCTGACAATTCTTGTCAATTAAGAGTGGAGTCGAGCGCGCCTTCCACGTGCAGGGTTCGAACTCACAACTTCACACAAATTTAGAATTAATGTATTTTGAGGCAAAAACTAAGGTTTTATCATAAATTCTCTGAAAATAGGAAACCGGAAAATTCGTCAAAAATCTATTTCAAATTTAACAGACATGAAAGTTTACAGAAATTGACAAAATTTCGTGACTAGAAATAACTATTTTGAGTCAAAATCTAAGATTTTTATCAAGAAATCTCCGAAAACAGGGAAAATGGAAAATTTGTCAAATGTAATGCAAATTAACCTTTTTTGTCTATTTTTTCAATATATATAAATACTGATTAAGTTAAAAAAATTGACCAAGTCTCATAACAAATAATACTTATTATATATATCTTGGTCATTATTGTTTATGTTTGTTCCATTAAATTTATGACATAACAAGTTTGAGTGGGATAGACAACCGATGAATCGATATATAACGAAAGTTCGCGAAAGAGTATCATTTCTCTAAAATGGGACTTGGGTACCTTGTGTTATATCTAGGTTTAGATGGGTTTTTTTCAGAGACAAGTGCCTGTGTTTAATGCTATAAAAACGGTGTTAGTCGTTCGAAGTCAATGAGACACGATGTTCAGAGGGGAACACAATGTTTTGTTCAATGTCACTTGGGAAGTCTCAACCAATAAACTATTTAGCTATCAAAATTCCACTGTCATGCATCAAATAATACGTTCAAAACAACAAGCACGGTTCAGATACATACCAACCATACCTGGTCCGTAGCAATTCGGAAAACCAGGATAATTCAATGCGAAACTTTTTCTAAAATACACGGGTGCATTTGCAGTACGAATTATGCCTATGTATTTCGGTTTACCAGCGTATTATGACCAGGTTGTTTTACTGGTTTGATATGTTTGCCTTCTTCATACCAACACAATCTTATGTTGGTATCTGCCCTTTGTTAGTCTTATACGTTTTTTTTTATTTTGGTTCATTTATATGTTTCGGAGTTTAGTGTGACGTCCATTTTCGCTAAACTAGTATACATTTTTGTAGAGCGTCAATTTTATATTTTCTGTCTCTATTGTTAGTGGAAAATTTAGAGTAGGCTGGCGGTCGTATTCTGACGTTTTTCTCAGTTTGTGGAATCGGTGGGTTGCTGCCTCATTATGTATACTCCGAACCTCATTTTACCAAATTAAATTGAGCTGTAAAAACAGAAGATCTGTGTAACACATACACACCAAGAAGACCGAGTAAGTTACTGAATATTTAATCAACAAGATCCGTGTCTGCAAAAATTTGTCCGTAATGTTCCAACACAGCAACACGAATTATTGCTGATCCGTAATTCATTGGTCCATACAGAAACTGTGCACAGAATGCTGCGCCATCTCTCATTATGCTAAAAGTGGTGATAATCTATAAAAAAGCACATTTTTATTATAGTTCACATAGCGTAAAGTTCTGCCATATGAAATGTTTGAAAAAAAACCTCAATATCATTTCAGCAAGGTATGCATGCAATTTTCCTTGAAATATCTTCCGTATTAATAATAATTATTGATAGAATATATGAAAAAATGCCAGTATATCAAATAGCGTAAGCTGAGAATTTAAGAAGAACAGTTAAAATATAGCACAAAAACTTAACAAATTTCTATTTCACAAAAAATGAATATGAAATATGTAAATGTAAAAAGCAGAAAATGTAACATCAGTTATTACAGAAGAAAGAATATGAATAAATCGAGAGGTGGAATAAATGTAACAAACCAAAAGTTCACTAACAGTTCACTAAAAAAGACAAAGCAAATAAAATCGATGTATGTGGTATAGAAAGAAAGGTTAACAGACCGAGAGATTTTAAACCAGATATGAACGACAGGTACTACGAGCCCAAATTGTTTAGTGGCTTAGAATAATTGTTATTATGCATGCATATGATTTATGTATGAGATAAAAATACTGAAATCATGCCATGAAGAGGTGGAAACACATTCTCCTAAATGTATTTTAAACCGGGGCTATGTTTTATAAAAAGAGACGGAAGATAGCAATGGGACATTCAAAACTCGAAGGACAAACTTACAACGCCATGACAAAAACGAAAGACGTATACATAGAAAACTAAAACATGAACAACAAGAACCCCACTTAAAACTAGGGGTGATCTCGTGCTCCGGAAGGGAAAACATACCCTGCTTCACTAGAGAAACCCCGTCTTGTTAATTAGAAATTAAAGTAAATCAGAACCATCAATGCAGTATAAGATTGTATGTCCCTAAAGGAACATAACAACAACTTATGAATACTTAACGATGATGAAAACTTTGTGAAAGATTTCAGAAAAGTGATGAGTGTTGTCACCACCTTTCTGATAAACTAGCTCTTTTATATTTTATACGTGGGTTTTGAGTTTCTGTAGAATTTAATAAAAACCGAAAAATGAAATCAATAAACTTCATGATTAACTGCTCTAAGGAGACCCGGGAAGGCTCATACACTGTACCCTAATGAATTGTGAACTATATTTACCGAGGCAGCTGCCTCAGATGCCTCAATGGAAGCTACACCTCTGTGAAATCGCTTTGTCCTTCCGTCCGTGTATTCGAAATAAAGTATTTCCGGAT